TCGGGCCACGTCCTCCTCACAACGCACGATCAGGAAAGACCCCTTTGGATATCGAATGACAACATCTCCCCCCGGTACAGGTGTCTTTTTGTATTTCCGCGAGGGTAGTTCCAGCTCCCACTTGTTACCCAGTCCGATCAGACTGGAAAGAAGCGAGAGGAGTACCGTCGCTACCACCGACATGCCATCGTCCTGCCATATCGATAGCGCAAGGAGGAGAGCAGAGAGGGCGAAGCCGATGAAGTTTACGATTGTGAGTGGGCCAAAGGTCTTGGCCTTGAGCGGTCGGTCGTGGACGCGTTTGATTTTGACAACCCGTACGGAGAAGGGGTTTAGGTTATTCGCGTCACTGGTACTTTGTTAGTATGGCAGGGTTAGGCTATGGTTGTAGATTGGTACGTGTGATGGCTAGTGCATTGTTGACTCCGGTCCACGGTAGACGTGTGGGGAAGTACCTCGTGGCAGCTGGCGACTACCGAGTTTGACCGAGAAGATGCACTTACCAGACGATGTTTCCAATATGATTGATGTGATCCCTGTGGTTCCCCGAGACGATGCCGGTTACGTGACCCCGGGATGGCTCTAGTTGAAATGGTCTCGTCGGCCTCATCAGGGCTTGAGGTGCCGGGATCAACCGTGGTAGGAATATCCATTTCGAAAGCGTCGAGACCTGAGCATTGGCGAGCACGGAACCCTCGCCCAAGATGGCGAGGAAACCAACGATATCTAGTTGTAGTTCATTGAGTGATATCTTCCCGTTCTCATCTGCGGGCAGCCAATACATGTCGCTAAGATAGACGCGATCTTCAAAACTCAGTGCAAACTGATGGCCGAAGCTGAATGTGATGGGAACGATGCATAAATCTGAATCGACGCGCTATGATGCAGTGACAAAAGGGCCGCAAGCGTATATACAACAGAGCCAGGATTGAGGCGGAAAAAAAAGGCATGTATGATGAAGACGGAGCCCCAGCGTGGAGCAGGAAAAGGCGCGCGTACAGCGTAGACGCTGGGGGCCAAAACATGCGTGCAGCGCCCACCGGATCTGCGTGTGGCACCTCATTCCACTCCGGTCAGGGAGGCACAGTCGCTGTCTCGAGGACACGGGAGTTTGTGCAATCCCACAGCCCCCCATGGATTGGGGCTTGTGCAGCTATTGGGTGCCTCAGGCTGAAGAAGTGAGGGGCAACATGGCTGACAGGGCCAGTGGCTAGGCTCCAGGGTTATCCGGCGTATGGCAGAATGCATGAGGCTTTTGCATAGCCTCCTTCATCGTGTGAGCGATGGGCAGTCCTGCCCAGCTTCAGCTTGACTTCCAACTTCTTTCTAGTAACTGATCCGCTTGTCGCAACGACATCGCGAAAGTTTGGATCGCTGCGCCCCGACTGCGAGTGGAGCTTGACCTCGTCTGTGATCGCCATCTTCGCCTGCTGCTCGCAACACCAGAACAGGCGCACGCACCAGGCTGACATCCCCGTGACACGATCCGATAGCGACAACTGTACGAAACGTCGAGGTTTGCGCTGAAAAGACGTCAAAAGTGGTGTCGCATTCACTCGAGCTGTCAAGAGAAGGAAGAATTGAACGCATAAAAGCGTGCGCTGATGTATGTGGTTGCTCCTTCCTTCTGTCTTGCGTGTCCTCAGGCACGCGATAGTGCTGGTGGCATCGCTCCTTCCCAGTCATCAGAGTTTATGAGCGCAAGAAACGTCATCGTCTAGTCAGGGCAAGCGTCGCCGTTTTCTTCCCCTCCTCACGCTTTCTTTTGATCCTGCCGCTACGACATATGTACTTGGTCGTGGCCATCGCTCCAGGCATCACTCGTCTCCCAGCCTCGCGCATTTCCTTAGCCGCGGGGTATGAGGCGCAGCGAACAAACCACAGCCGCGACTACCTTGTGAATTCCAATACTGACCCAGTCCACTACGTGCAATAGGCCGACAAGCGGGACAGCGGTACTTGAATTTGGTACACCATATCAATCGCCTGGTTAGAGCACTATCTAGTCACGGGGTGTGCCTTGAACCAACCTCGTTTCACGGGATCTAAGGATTGTGTTGGATATCCAAATCATACACAGCCCAAACCGGTCAATCAAGAAAGGTCACCGAGAGCGGCGTGAACCAGTCGTGTCGCTTCATATCATTGTACCTGCAGTCTTATCGCAGGTGGCATGAGCAGCCGGTGATAGACGCTTTTTCATTCCATCGTCATCGGCATGCCCACTGACGCCGAACCCAAAACTTCGAGTGAGTCCCACAGAACCCGTCCGGGGTTGTTGGCAACGTGTGGTATTGTCATCCCCACATTGTGAGTCTCCAAGTGAAGGCTCATGTTTATCGCGGCTGTGTTGACTTTTGGATGCAGCTTTGTACGTGACAGGCACAACTCTCCAGGAGACTCCAACCGACCAGTTATGACTGTAGCTGACTCACCAAAGAAGAGAAAGAGGGCCCTCAGCCCGCAACCTACTAGGAAGCTACCACTACATTCAGGAGAACCAAAGACCGTCGAGATGTCTTCCCCGAACGCTGAGGACCTGACCGAGTTTCAGAAGAGGGCGGAGATCCAGTTCAAAGCCGTTCTGGAAGGTATTGATCAAGTAGCCACTGCTCACGAGAAAAAGACACAGGATCTCGTGAAAGCAGAGAACGACAGTGCTTGGGATCGACCAGTGAGACCCAAGGATAAATCCAGATCCAAAGACGACAAGGTTGAGGAAAGGGCTGCTGCCATCATCCGAGCGATTCGCGAGTATGAGCGGGTTGTTACTTTCGGTAACCGACCGTCTGAAGCGCTGCCTTTAGAAAACGATCGCGACATGGGCGGTCAATATCTTACCAACAAGGACCGCATAGACAACGAAAGCAAGCTATACCAGATCGCCAGGATCGTTCCAAAGGGCGCTTTGTTACATCTTCACTTCAATGCCGAATTGCATCCTGAGATACTTCTTGTCCGAGCGCGCAAGATGAAGAACATGTACATTCGCAGCATCATACCAATCACAAAGAAGGAGCATCTTGGGGAGACTGAGATGATTTTCAATGTCTGCGACCCAACAACCGTCGATCCTGGCGTCAACATCTTCTCGGACTCTTATCCCAAACTAATGGATCAGGAAAACCCCAAGGCTGAAAGCTATCTGAAGACTACCTGGATGCCATGGTCAGACTTCCAGGAGGAATTTGAAAGACAGTTCCCAGGTGAATACCAAGACGAAGAACCTGAGACTTTTCAAGCTGGACAGCCACAACACTGTGGACAGACAAAGCCTACCAAGCTTCGTCCCGCTGAGAATTGGTTAAGATCGAAGATGGTTCTTAGCCTTGACGAAGCCTATGGGCCTACACAGACTGTGAATGGGTATGTGTTGCTCCTACATCATCGCGGTACTCACTAACGTATACACAGAGTATGGGCTCGCTTCAACCAAGCTACCAGGGCTTTCAAAGGCTTACTAAACTATGAGAGCGTCTACAAAGAATACATAGGCGATGCTATTGACCGTATGATCGAGGAGAACGTCATGTACGCCGAACTACGACCAATGCTTTTGGACAAGTTCATTCCTGCCGACAGCGGCATTCACGAGAAGCGCATCAAGAACCACGAACAGATGCGACTCATTGTAGATGGAATGAAGGAAAAGAGGAAAATGCTTACAGAGCAGCATGGCAACGATGACAAGTTCCCATTTGGACTCAAGATCATATATTGCACACCACGGTCTATTCCCATACCGCTTATGCAAAAGGAAATGAGAGATTGCATAGCGCTCAAGATGGAATTCCCGGATCTTATTTGTGGTAAGCAGCACCTAGCATTCCAAGCGTAACCGTTTCTAACATCCCTAGGTTTCGATCTCGTGGGCGCGGAGGACCGGCCCAACCACATTGGGTTTTATAGGAAAGAGCTCGTTACATTCCAGGAAACGTGTAAGAAACTGAAACTGGACATACCTTTCATGTTCCACGCCGGTGAGACACTGCTCGACACGGGCGGCTCCTCCGATCCGGAGAACTCCAACCTCTACGACGCAGTGGCGCTGGAATCGAAGCGCATCGGCCACGGATACGCGCTCATGAAGCATACCCATCTCATTGAGAAATTCAAGAAGACGAAGACAAGCAAAGGTATCTGCATTGAGCTTTGCCCCATCTCGAATGAGCTTCTGCATCTTTGCAGAAACGTCAAAGAACACCCATACCCAGAACTGTTGGCTGCGGGCATACCTTGTACAGTCAACTCAGACAACCCATCACTCTTCAGGTAAGGGATACCGCCCATGCAAACATTTTGCTTCGCGAACGAGTTCGGTACTAACAATGCGCACAGCAACTCAATGTCACACGAGTTCTACCAGATCATGGTCGGCGACCCCACCATGTCCCTCTGGAGCTGGAAGCAACTGGCAACATGGAGTATTGAATACAGCTGCCTCGCCACGAAAGAACAAGAACGGGGGCAAGAGATCTTAACTAGAGGTTGGAAGGAGTTCTGCCAGACCGTGGTTCGAGACTATGGTCCTCTCATGGAAGATGAGGCTTCAGTCAACATCAATCCCTATAGGGCAGAGGCATCATATTCGGTGCGCGACGACAAGACTCATCCCGTTATCGAGAAGGCCATATCCGACAAGAAGATGGCAGGGAAGAAATTCCCAGACCAGGAGCAACCAGACACGGTCAAGATAGAGAGGGAGAAAGCAAGGCTGTGGATGGAGTCTTTGACTAGCAGCCACGTCCTCAAGCGAAAACCTTGATATTGCGATACACGAACCGTCAAGGAGCAATATTCTCTAACTTCGCTCGATAAGAGAGGAGAGTCGAATTCCAACATGGGGCTGGCTGACTGCTCGCGTCTGCTTTCGGAATACAACTGCAATATGCAACGCAACCATTACATGATGACTTATTTGGACTAGATTACGGCCGTCACGTAGATTCCCAAGGCTACGGCCAACCCAATACAATATTTCTGACTCTCTAAGTTCTTCACTAGGCCGCGTCCACAACAGCACCTAGGACCCTCTTATCACTACCCGTGACTGTCTGCCCTTTGGCCTGCGCGAAGTTCGCGCTCCGCTCGTGCGCCGGGTTGGGGCTGTAAAACTCATCGACAATGGGATGAATCATGACCGTCTGCTTCGATATAGTAAGCGTACTATTCGTGGGGACCGTAACCCAGTTATCTGTTGTCGTTAGTACATCCATAAACCAAGAACGGTACGAAGAACTCGGATATAAACGAAGGCAAGAGTAACATACCCCTCTCAAACGTCAACGGCTCACTAGCCACAAGTACAATGTCACTCCCCTTGTCCCTACGTTCCATAACGTAGTCCCTCTCCCTCTCCTCATCATCGACAGGAACACCAGCATCAGAGTCCTGAGACTGAGCGTTGAGTTCGCGCCAACTTGTTCCACTGCTGAAGAAGAGGCTAGCTGCCTCATCTGTCTTGCTACTCACGTACCGCGAGCATACCACGCTAACACCATCCGTAACAGCGAAGTTGAGCAAACTCCTGCTATCCTCCTCGCCGACACCTTGCTCGCCCACGACGTCTTTGATGAAGCCATTGAGCCGCTCAATCGTCTTCAGTATCGCTTTGCGCAGCACCGTATGTCCGAAGCCTACACCAGGCTCCACATCTTTATCGGGTGAAATACCGGCTTTATCGAGACAATCGAGGAACGTAGCGAACGCCCACTCGCTATCCGTACTCCCGCCTACAACGTTGAACCACTTCTCGTCCAGACTCATAGCCAGTCTGCGCTTGATCTGTTTCCAGCACCCAATACCGCCGTTGTGCATGAACATGAGGCTCTTGTAGCTGAAGGGGTGGCAGTTACTGTCGCTGAGGTTACCCTCGGTTGTAGCGCGGACGTGTGCGAAGATGAGGCTCGATGTGGTTTTGGACGCGATGCGCGAGAGGTTTATGCAGTTCCATGCTGGGATTGTGGAGGTGAAGACGCAGGGCGTGGGACCGAGGGACGGGCAGGTGTAGTAGCCGATGCCGAAACCGTCGCCGTTGTGTGGGCGCCGTCTGTCCTGGTGGTAGTTAGTGGAAGGGGTGATGTGGGTGGTGGATGGTAACGCACTAGGCGGAGGCGCGAGTCGAAGGATTGCGTGAGGATAGAATGCGAAGGGTTTAGAATGAGCTCGGAGAGGAGTATCTCATCCTTGCCTTTGTAGACCTGTGAGTGTTAGCTGCGTACTGCGCGGGTCTATGGTGCTCTGCTTACCATGAACCTACACATGCTGAGTATCTGTTGTTGTGTAGTCAAACTTCAGCGTCTCAAATCACGCAGAAGTAGTGACCCTGGTGCCGAATGTGTGGAATGGCAGTTGTGTCAAGATGGTGGTGCGCTGGCTGCGAGTTCGGGGCGGCGGTGTGTTCGCGATGATTGCGCCATCGGTCCAGGGCGTTGCTTGGGATATCATTGGATTCTGCACAGATTGCAGAGACGTCGCGTAGACGCGCATGCGATATTACGGATTTCATCCTGAGACACGCGACATGCTATCACGAAGCGAGCCAGCAAAGATAGCTAACCCCACGCGTGGTTCGCGGAGGCATGCCGGGGCGGGGTGATCAGGGTTCCGCGGATGACGCACGTGTTACTTTCCCAGCTAGCGGCACTGTTAGTTCAACAATCACATGCAACTTCATTCATGTCGACCAGGCTATGTTGTAAGCCGATTACTCGGCGATTTATTCAGCTATCTGGCTGGCGCGGCTGAACTGCGAGCGCATGTTGCCCTTGCACCCAATTGTGTAGAGCGCCATTCCAGAGCAGACCGCCCAGTCCAACCATTCCGATCTTCAGACAAGCTAGACAAACACGCAACGCCGGGGATATGATGCGGTTATTGAACATGGGTGGGGTACAAGACGGTGTATCTTTAAGGCTTCATTGAAATCATGGCGAAGTGATAGCTGGAAAGGATGGGGGTATTGCTAAGGAAACACAAAGGTCCTCGCAATCATAGCACTTCCGTGGATCATGTATCATATCGTGTATGATCTCCGTGTTCGTCCAGGATACTGCAAACACTACTAGTCGTGCTCTCGTGGCTGGCTAGCGTGGTGGAAGGGCTGCACTGAAATGCAACGTTTCAACTTCGGACTCGTCGCGGACCTAGACCCGCTTACATGTCCATGGAGTCACCTCCGTTGGCGAAGTTGAAGTTTTGTTGTTGCTGCTGACCAGCGGCGCCGAAGCCGAACTGACCGTCCTGGTTGACCTGGGGTCCGGCCTCGCCCATGTTCTCCGCCTCACCCTCCTCGTCGGCGAAGTACTTCTCGATGATGTTGTAGGCCTTCATGTAGATCTCCTCGTTGGCGTTGTTCTGGCACTCGTGGATCTTCTCCATGCCGCCGACCTCTTCGATGAAGAGAGCGTAGCGGTTGATGGGCTCGCCGCCAGCACCACCCTCGCTGGCCTCCTTGTCCATCTCGCCGACCTTGAGAATGTTCTCAAGACCATCGAGGGCAACCTGGATGATCTTGTTGTCGGGGCAGGCGAGGAGATCGCAGAGGGGCTTGATGCAGCCGCTCTGGACGAGGTAGCGGATCTGCGCAGGCTTCTGCAGACCACCGCTGGTGGCGTTGGAGATGGCCCAGCAGGCCTCCTTGCGCGTCTTGAAGTCGCCGTTCTGGAGGAGGTGGATCAGAGGGGGGATGATGTTAGCATCGATGACGGCCTGGATCTGGGTCGAGTTGCCGGCGGTGATGTTGGAGATGGTCCAGCACGCCTCCTTGCGGATTCCGTCCTTGGTGGAGCTGAGGAGGGACAGCAGCGCGGGGAGCGAGCCGCAGTTGATGATGACCTGGGTCTGGACGTCGTCGCCAGTCACGATGTTGCCGACGGAGCGCAGGGCGGGGGTCTGGACGGAGGTCGAGGCGTGCATGAGCAGCTCTACGAGGCGGCGGGGGATGCCGGCCTCGATGACGGCCTGGATCTTGTCGTTGGAGCCATCGGAGAGGTACGAGATGGCCCAGCAGGCGTCGATGAGGACCTCGTCGTCGAGCGAGTATACGAGCTTGGCGAGCACGGGCAGGGCAGGCTGGATCTGCTGGACAATTAGTACTTGGAGTTAAGTGGGGCAGCGAGCAGAACTCACAGTTTGCCAGTCGGGCTGAGGGGTCTTGCCGCGGCAGAAGTTGCTCAGGGTCCAGGTGGCATTGCGCAGCATGCTGAGCTTGCGGCTGTCGCCCAGCAGGGCCAGCAGCGGGCGGAGAGCACCGGCCTGCAGGACAAAGTCGCGGCAGGCGGGGCTGTCACCGGCGATGTTGCCCAGGGCCCAGACGGCCTGCTCGCGCACGTCTGGCTCGTGGCTGCTGAGCAGCTCGACGAAGATGGGCACGGCGCCCGCCTCGATGACGACCTGTGTCTGTTGCGCCGAGCCCGACGCGATGTTGGTGAGGGCCCAGGCGGCCTCGAACTGCACCAGCGTGTGCGGGGAGCGCAGGAACTCGACGAAGCGGCTCACGACGCCGGTCTCGATAACGCGCTCGATCGGGGGGTTGCGCTCCTTGGACAACAGCTTGCGGAACTTGGTTGTCGCCTGGATCTGCTCGTCGATCTGTTCCGAGAAGACGCCCTTTACCATCTGGGGGAGCTCCTCGTTGAGCTACATCGCGTTATGTCAGCCTGCTATTCTCTCACTCTCTGTGCTCGCTGAGGCACGGGATGGTGGGGTATACACGCACCTGGCTCTCGATGTTGCCGCCCTCATCGTCGCTGTCGGGGGCAGCGCCGAGCGAGGCGCCCGGCTGATCCCGTCCAGCGATACCGCGGCGCTTTGCGAGGTTCTCCTCACGCTTCGCCCGGCGGATCTCGACCTGTTGCTCTTCACGGCGGCGGCGGAGTTCGTCTGGCTTGAAGGCGCTCTTCGCCTTGAACGTCGTGCGACGGTGCTCGGGGATGTACTTGTCGGCCATGCTAGCGACTCTGGTGGGCGTGCAGTGTGGGAGTCGGACAAGATTTGGGTGCGGCTGTTTGTTTGTAAAGGGGAGTAAACTTTCCTACCAGAGGGGTGATTTTGAAAGCGGAAGCGGCGAAGCGGGTATTGGCGCTAGCAGCTTGGCTCGAGCGCTCTACCCAAGCAACCACCACGACGCGTCGCGACTGTCGCAGTGATATGCCCCCGCCACCCTGCAGCTGTTTGTCACACCTGCACGCCCGTATTGCGAGACCACTACGACAGACAAAGGCCTAGTCTCAGCCACTTCGCCTCTCCTGCAATTGCTTCTCCTTTGACGGCCTTGCAGTCCACGCTAACCGCTTTCGGCCATCTCCAGCTGCAATGCCGCTGCAGCTGCCCAACGGCTTCACGGCTATCAAAGATGCCACCGAGGCGAAGTCCACGGTCAGTCTAATCGGCGTGCTGGTCAGTCTTGATCTTCCCAAAACAACGCGAAGACAGGACATGGCCCTAAACTTCACTATTCAAGATGACTTCACGTCTGGTGAGGTTGGAGGTGAATCAAGCATCACCTGCCGATTGTTCAGACCAACCGAAGACAAGTTTCCCAAGACCGTTGGCGATGTCGTCATACTCCGAAGGTGGCAGCTGCAAGAGTACCAGTTTCGCATGGACGCCATTGGTTCTAGGACCTGCCATATCGTCGTCTTCCCAAGCCACAGGATTCCCGTTCCGGGGCTGAGCGAGGCGTTTCAGGCCGGCAGTCAAAAGCTGCCTCACGAAAGGACTGGGGGCCCTCCCCCGACGATTCCAGAGCAGATGGCTGTTATACATCTAAAGCATGCATCCAAGGGCGCAGCACCACAAGTGAAGCAGCATGCGGCCATTAGTGCTTCCAAAGCCAAGACAGCAAGGAAGAAGTCCTTAATCAAGGATCTGCAACTCGATACCTTCTACGATGTCTGTGCACAGGTTGTCGACTTCTACTATACTCAGTTAGGTGACCGAGTCGACTTGAAAGTGACCGACTATACTCCGAATGAACAAATGCTCTACTACCCAGATCCAGACTCGGAAAAAGATTTCCCGGTCAGAGAAAGGCGCTGGAGTGGTCCATTTGGTCACATGGTCCTCAACATCACCGTGTATGGAGCAAATGCGGCTTGGATACAGGAAAACCTTGGCCAGGGTGACTTCGTCTTTGTAAGAAACATGCGAGCCAAGCTGGCTACAAATGGCAAGTTGGAGGGTGCTTTACATGAAGACAAAATGAACGACTCAAAAGTCGATATCATGCTCCTGAAGGACGAGGGCGAGATCGAAGCAATCAACAAACGGCAAGAAGAGTACGAAAAGAAACGCGAGACCAAAACAGCTTTCCATTCGTTGCAGAATGAACCGAAGCAGCCTTCTGCCAAATCTGCCAAAGCGAAAAAAGAGGCCAAAAAGCTGAAGCAACAAGCAGACAAGCTGGCCGAGGTAGAAGAGCTCGAGCGAGCAGCACGTGAATGGGAAAAAGGTCGTGGCGGTATTAACACAAACGGTAAGATTGCCCCGGCCTCCTTCTATTATATACTGACCCTCCTTAGTCACCGCCGCTTTTCCTCATATGAAACTATCCACAATCTCCGAAATCATACACAACCCTCACCGGACGGTGACGACAACAGAAAAGTACACCACCTTTGAACTTCCATTCATCAACTGCAGACATCGATCTCGCGTGCGGATAGTAGATGTTTATCCTCCTGAAATCAAGCTCTTCGCGCATAGTACAAGAGACAGGAAGTGGAACAAGCATCCTAAGCGCCAGAGCTCGAATGGTGCCCATGCGAACGAGAAGTGGGAATGGGGATTCGTTCTCCTACTCGAAGATGCCAACGTCCCTCGCGATACAGTGGCCGAGAAACTGCGCGTGGTCGTCAACAATGAAGCTGCGCAGTTTCTGCTAAAAATGAACGCTGTTGAGTGAGCAAGCCTGTTCCTTCACGATTACTACCTTACTAATACTTTCGCAGTCTCACGAATCAGCCCAAGGTTCTCAAGAAACTCGAGGAGAAGCTCTTCATCTTGTGGGGTAACCTAATGGAGCTCAAGACCGAGCTGCGAGATCGAGGAAACGATCTGCCGCTACCGCCGGGAGACAACCGCCTACAGAACAAGCCCTTTGACGCTTGCATTGAAGAGTATGGCTGCGAGGTACCCCCGACAAAAGACCAGCATCAATTTGGCTATCAACGCATGTATAGGCTCGCGCAGACGGCGATTGTGGAATAAGCCCTTTCTTTACGACAATTTGGTTGACCTGCATACCTCGTATGCCTCTCATTTTATTTGATACCCTCTGTGTAATTGTACTCGGTCTCTCTTTTGGCAAGGCGTAAGGGATGCGCAAGGGCTGGATATCCACGTGGCGATTACAAAGAATGACCGAGACGGGAACCTGGCAGGCGAGACACGTCCACTTTCCTCGGTCTTCCGCAACGTGCGATAATCGATATGGAAAGAGGGAAAGCTTGACTTTCAAAATTTGGACCTGGCCTTCATCTGCGCTCTTTTCCGAATGTCGCTAGGATCATGGCTCACTGCAGATGCAGCCAGGGTATACATGGAATTGTACGTAACCGGCCAACGGACCAATCAGCCCCATCTTTCTCCACGTGTTAGAGCGTACAGTCGCTCCTACCCTTCGACAGACCGACCTCGTTGCGTGTGCTGATCTTGGAGGGCCTAGCATCGCATTCGTCAGATTGCGTGATCAAACGTGCTTGTAGCGAAAGGTCACCCATCAGTCACCGCGCCTTCATAGAGCCGAGCTCGGCCTCCTACTACTGCCTATTCGAATCCGCGACACAACTACATCCGTCTTGTATTCCACCAATTAATGTCAAATTGTAGGCTGTTATCGCTACAGTACTCACCAAGACCGATGCTGTGTAAGAGCTAGGAGTAGTACGCAGTGGAAGATACTTCGTGCAACATCTCGGTACCGGACATCTACATACAACAGATCCCCCAAATAGTGCCCACAAGTGCAATTTACATTATGGCTCTGGAGGTCACTTCGATGATGACACAGACTCCTGGCGCCAACATCGCTGTCACAACTCCCTTGTCACCACACGAGGTTCCCATGAAGCTACTAGCGATACCGCCCATTCTGGACGCCACGAAAATCCATGGCCTCCTCGACCCAAGATCCATATCCACCGATTTCGATAAACTGCGTTTCGAGGCCGCGGCACACGAACAACTCATCCTTCGCGACGAGCAGTCCAACAAGACCGCCGTCCGAGCTGCACAGCCATCCTCCACTCTCCTGATCTCCTCCCCGTACAACATCCCAGGCCACTACCTCGATCTTTCCTCTCCGCACCTGACCACATCTTCCAGGCTCCTCGCACTAGCTCTTACAGTCCTGAAACCAGCAGCACCCACCTACGCAACCGCTTCCTACACCCAGGCCCTGAACTTCGACTCTGTCCTGATCGCTCTACGCGATCTGATCGCAAAGGAAAACTTCACCTGGAGAGAAACGAGTTTCTACGTTGTGGTCTTCCGCTCACAGCTCAAAGAAGGAATCGACGAGGAGTATCTGTATCGACTCGACGAAGAATCTCATCGGGAGGCGTGTGAGAGTGGGGGGCTCTTGAAGTATTGGTTCGGCAAGGCAGATGGGGAGAGGAGAAATCTTGCTACTTGTATGTTGTTGTTCCCTTTCTTCCAATACCTAAAGTGAAGTGGTTTAGGACGGGCTCCGCTGACATTGGTGGTAGGCTTCTGGCACAGTAGGGAAGATGCGTACAAAGGAGGGCTGGGGCCGTGGCATAGAAAGGCGAGGGCTGCTGGACGCGAGCTGTATGAGAGCATTGTGTTTAGTACGTACAGGTTCACAGTGGCGGATGGAACAGAGGAGTATAAGTTTGAGGAGTGGGTCAAGTGAGGTGGGGGTGGATATGGGCAAGATTTGTCAAAACGTTAAAATATGCAAGAAGGAGAAGAAAGGTAGGACCTGAGAGGTTGACGAAGGCAGTATCAATAGCAGGGAGGGTGTATACAATATGATAGAGAAAGTGTAGGTGGGTGTAGCTGGAAGAAACCGTGTAGCGGTGGTGGAAAAGTACAGCATTCAATTGCCCAAAATGATCTATACCATGCCCTACTGTACAGCGCATCGTCCGCATGCAAAGCTTGAATTACATAGAATAGTTCCGATCCATCTCGTCGTTCGTGGAGGATAGTTGGCTTATGGTCGGATAATGCGGAGGCCGTCTTTCGGGGGTGATGCTGCGCGCTTGAAGGACTGTTCCTCTGTCAGTATTCGGTCTCTTGTGCCAGTTCCAAGACTAATTGTATCTTACGTTGTCGCACTCTTCCCAGGCCCTTCCGGCACCGAAACCGAGACCGGTGAATGCGGGCCATGCGCGGCGCTTGAAGAGAAGTACGGAGAAGACGACGCCGAATGACAGGCCGAGGCCTGAGCGGATGAGCATTGAAGAGAGGCAGCGGTCCCACTGGGATTATGTTAGCGTGACTGTCCGATAGGGTTCCAACATTCTTGTCTCGGCGTATGATCGAACGGAAGTTGGCAGTAGTCGCGTGAGGCGGACCAAGACTGCCATTGTTCGACTACCCCGCTTCTGGCATATTTTGATGCCTCTTTCAAGATGTGCAGATGTTTGTGCCATGCCTCAGAGGCCTCTTTCCCGGGGATTGTACCTTTTCGTTGAGGAGAGCTTCGCTCATGGGACGTGTGGTGCGCGAGATGGGAGCGACGGGCTGCGAGGTGTTGTCGGCCATGGCGGGTGTGTTTTCGAGTGCAATTGGGCGGTTCAAGGGCGCACTCGGTGTGCTGGGGGTGATGGGCAGCGGTTCGACGTGGTGTTGATGGGCGCTGGGCGGAGCTCCAAGCGGAACTTTGACGTCGCCGGCACTTGGCAGGGACGACTAGGATGGCTTGGTCCGTGCCCAAACTTTTTCCGCATACCAGGCCTTTGCGATCTGCTCCAGTTCTTGCAATCACAACGGGGAACGAGGTGACAAGATGGCGCCGATTAAGCCAGTAGGAGTTCTTCATACTCCTGGGTATATACATAGCTGATAACATAACAGGCCTCCAAGAACGACCCTGCGTCGACCCGACCGCGGCTGCAGGCCATCAACCAAGACTTCTCCGACCTCGACGAGCAGATCCGCCAAGCTGCGCATATCATAGGCCTTCCCGAAGACTGGAGTACCATACGGGATCACGACACAAGATCAGAGATCATACGACGACTCGTGCGCGCAAGAGCGGAATGGGTTCTGCGCTGGATCCTCGACAAGCTGAAAGACGAGACGGAAACCGGGCGGACAGCGCGAACAAATGCCAGCGCGTGGCAGCTTCTGGAATGGATGATACATGTTTTGCCTGTTTCAAGAAGCGCACCGCATCTACGCGATGCCGCCTTTCCCAGTATCTTGGAGAGAACCCTTGTTGAGAACTTCAACACAGACGCAGTCCTACAGTCGACGGCCACTTCAAAAGACGTTCACATGAAAGATGACTCCGAGTCGAGCGCGACCGTCCGCGAAGGAACCAAACCATCCAAGAAGCGCAAACGAGGAACAGCTGAGGCATCATCGGCAGCATCGACAGCAGCCGGCCCTGTAAACCTGGACCGTCTTTTCGGCGTGGTCAGGACTGTGGTCAACTCTATCGCTCGCTTAGCCGGAAGCGACCAAAGCGACGACACTACCCAGGCTGAGCTGATGAAGATGGTTTTGAGGACGGACAGCGCAGAAGCCTCGCGCATCCTAAGGTTCTGGCTTACTGCTGTCCGGATATTGTGCGCGACTCCTTCTTCCACTTCCGAGGACACTACTTTGGACGAATACCTGAACCTGTCGCTTGCGCTTGAGATGTGGGACCTGCGAACCGCTGAGGTCAAAGACGAGACTGGGGCATCCGCCGAGGAGTTCAACACCGAGTGCCTTGTGCCTATCTTGACATTGCTGGAACTTCTCAAAAAGATGCGTAGCGATGGTACAAGACGCTCTCAGAGAACCCTTGATCGCGCAATCGCAGCGCTCGACAAGCTTCTGGCGAGACACCTGCTCGCACCTTCAAGAGCAGCTTTCTTTGCAGATGTCAGTGTCGCTACAGGCTCTAACGATGTTGGTCCGAACGCCCGAGATACCACAGTCCTTGCAAGTAACCTGGAACCGCTCCGCGCAAAGCTCCTCCAGGCTGCGCAGATTGAAGATGGTGGCGACGCGCTACCTACCGAGCTCGCATCTCTTTTCAACACAGTCCCTCATGTGCTCGATCTAGCAATCCGCGCCTCTCCATCACGGACGCCCAGGAGCAGAGCCATGGAGAAGCCTTGGATACAGGCTGTCTTTTCAGCGCTTGCTGAGTGTGCTGGGTGCTCGCTAACTACACCTCCCAAGTTCATCACACGGCCGACGGCCGTTACTGCGCTTAGCGGTGCTATTCACGTTCTGCAAGCGCATGAAGTAAGCCTTTCTGCAGACCTTGTCAAAAAGATCTTCTGGTATCATTGCGGTGTAAAGTACCCCGAACGTCAGGAGAAGCAGGTGCATTGGTCCCTCATCGCATCTCTTATTCAGCTCGACTCATCAGTCTTTGTGGAGTCAAAGTTGGGAGCCAAAGTCATGAAAGAGCGTCAGACTGACCTGACTGAGTTCTTGTTCGAGACGATAACGGCTTCAGAGCTAGAGGGTGCAGGCTTTACCGACAAACAGATGGCCATTAGCTCTAAAGAAAAGCGACACTCCGCATCCAACAACGAGGCTAGTACTCCCTTAGGACGCGCTGAAATTCTGGAGAGGATCATCAACCCACTGATGCTGGCGTTTGTGCGCCACCGGAATCTACTCGGCTTCATCCGGAGATGGGATGAGCAGTTGGTCAAGAGCTACAGGCATGGCAAGCGCAATTCTCTCAAGGACGGACAGGAAATCATTTGGGAAGATCGCGCCCTGCACAGTGCTCTAGCGGAGTCTCTCGAACCATCCTTGACCCAGAACCAGATAACAACACTGATTCAGGAGCATGCGGAGCGCCTGGCGCAGCTTGCTGTGGCAATCGAGACCTCCGCCGAAGAGAACGTCAAGGTTAGGAAACTCGCCGCTTACAAGAATTCAGCAAGCAGTGCTGTCCTGCTGCCGGCTCTTCTCCAATCAATCCAGTCCGAGAACACGATCGAAGCACTTAAATCTGAGCTTCATGCTTTGTTCCTCACATACAAGACATGGGTTCAGGAACTCAATTACAGCCGTTACATCAAGGCCCACCTCTCCTGGTTCACACTGTGCCAGCTACTAGAGAAGTTGTGGCCCATCGAGCTTCACGCATCATCCCCGCTGCAACATGAGCTACTCTACCCGCTGCTCGAACAAGCTCTGAAAGTCAAGTCAGCAGGGCGCCGAGACGCCGGCGAAGGCGCAGATGCATCTGCAAGAGCTGCTGCAACATTGTTCTGGCTTAATACTTGTGATCGTCTTCAGACCCTGTCCGGTTCGGAGGAGATTATTCGCAGTGGTTTAGGCAAGGCGATCAGCTCACTAACTTCCGACCAGCTAGAACCCGACGCACAGCAGAAGATGATCCAGGTTTTCTGTGCATACTCTATCAGTCTCCTCGAGCACGCAGATAAGGATACATGCCGCCAATCTTTGCATGCCTTACTATCGAAGCTACCTCAATTCGATGGCGTTACCAGGGATCTTATCTGTCAATCACTTTCTCAGTCCATCCTCGAGCATGGAAACTCCGTCATACAAGACGCATATTGTGCAGCTCTTGTGGAGGCTCTCGGGCAGGGAGCCGGAAACAAAATGCCTGCTGTGGTCGGCGAAGCGATACTTCATATTCAACCTTCGGCTTTGTCACGCGAGCAAAGACAATCCATACTGGACCGCACGACCGAACTCCTTGACCTCGGACAGAGCGACACAGTAGTACCGTTAAGTGTCATGGCACATCTCCAACATGTTCCAAATGCAAAGGCCAAAGTTTCTACCGACGCAGACGTCATATTCGACGTCGCGGAACAGCTGCATCGCCAAAATCTCGAAACAGATGCAGCATTGCAGCTACTGCGAGAGCTCGTCCAAAGAACCCTTGGCCACATCATTCCGAACCAGACTCAAGCCCAAAACAAAGAGTTCTTCATCGCCTACGCAGGACGGCTGCTATCCATTGCAAAAGCCACCAACAATTGCACGCTAGCAAGGCTCTCGGTCTTGCGAGCGACGTCGATTTCCCAGAAGCAAAACTCATTGCTTCACATCGAGCGCTATGTCGACCTGCTCAAGCAATGTCTTGGTAGTGAGGATATTGCACTGCTTCAAGGCTCGTTGGACGCTTTCAATGAGCTGTCCATAGACGCCTTGAAAGAAGTGAAACAGCTTGGCCGCGTGCAGGCATGGCTTCGCACATGGCTCAAGGACGCCGTTGACCTCGAGCAATATATCGATCCATCGGTTCTCATCCCGAGCGAAGTTGTAGACTACTTCGCACGAATCTACACACTGATCGCCAAATATGAGCTCTACCCAGACGTCAAGTGGCTGATCAGTCTGGCGCTTACCGTCCTCAGAAATAGCTCCATTCGCGTACAGGATAACGTGTATACAACACTGCGCAATACGCTCGGCCCGCTTGCCTTCCACGAGAAGCTAGACTTGGTCACAACACTGACTGTTGATCAAAAGCAGCCAAACCTTGCCGCG